AGGTGAACTAATTAATAAATTATGACGCAAGTAATGCAATTAATTAAAGGCAAGGGGTTGGGTAAGTAATGCGAAGGTACTGACTTCAAAAGTAAAATAAGGTTAACGAAGCAAAAGGCGGTTTTATTTTATTAATGACAAGCAGTATCGTGATACATTATAATGGTTATAAGTAAAAGTGGCTTAACACTGAAGATTTCGAAGTCGAGATTTATTAATACTAATTTGTGTGACCAAAAATTGAAAAACTATTATAACTATCGGAATTGAATAAATTTTTAATAAAAAAATTTTTTTAAAAAATGCTCTATTAGTCTAAAATATAGTTGCTGCTGAGTAATTTTGTACAATTTCAAAAGAAGTTAATATGTAAAATATTGAGAAGATACAATTTAAAAACTAACAGCTTCTTATAAAAATATTAAACCGTATCTCCTCAATATTTTACATATTAACTTCTGAAATTTTACACAATTGCTCTGCAGACCTTATATTTTAGACTAATAGAGCGCTTTTTTAAACATAAACACTTTGCAATAAAATTGATAAAAAATCGTCAAAATTTTAATTCTTTAATATGAATCATCGTCCTTGTTACACAAAAATTTCACTAGTTATTTTCTACTATGAGACTATAGACTTAGTGCATCGAACAATTCCTCCTACAACGCAACCACTAATTAATTTTTGCGCATGTACCCAAACGATGAATCTTTGCAGTCAGTATTAAATGCACACAGTTCACCTATACCACAATTGTGTTTACTTCCTCCCACAACGCAACCACTATCTAGTGTTTGTTGGCAAACACCATTTACACAAATAACACCTGGTTTACAATCATCAGAACCAGGCGTTAATTGACATAATTCACCAGGCCCACAAGATTGAGTATCTGGTTTTACACCTGATAGGCATGTAGCTATAAATAAGTAGAATGATTCAGGTTAAAAAGTTAATTTAAAAATGATGTTATTCAAAATGTGAATTTGAAAAATGCCTTACCATCGATGACTGATGCCCAATCTATGCTAAGCACTAAGACGAAGATCATCACGGTAATAGCGAATATATATCTCATGATGAGTACAAAGGAATCTTATTTTTGTAATGTAGGATTATTTGCAACTTTTTTTATTTTTTTATGTTTGTAATATTTTTATATTTTTTGCCAATGCCTTAATGTTGTATTTAAATACTTTTTTTGAAATTTTAGTCTTCTCAACAAATTTCATATTGCATTTAACATTCTTTTTTAGAATTCACACCGTTTTATTTTCCTAATCCATTTATATCATATATAGTGATGCAAATGGTTTGAGCTGAGTCGCGGGCAGATAGGTCTATAGCACATAACCATCACCAATAGTCATCCAGCATCATGACTTACTCTTGTTTAGTTAGTTATTTACAGCTGTTTTCATACATTCTGGGCAAAAATTTTCAATGACTGATCGATAAGTTACGAATCAATCAGTCAGCTGAAATCAGAAACTTATCGATTCGGTCTTGGGCAATATTTTCATTTGTCCCAAATTTATAAAAACAGCTATCTGTAATTGCACAGGTAACATATAAGTTTTACAGTGGTTTTTTTAAAAGCGATAAATCACAAAGTGTAAGGTTAACTGCCATCTAGAATGGCGTGTGTGTTATCCGGGTAAATTATTATATTACCCGGACTATTAAATTATTTATACAGTACCGGACAGTAAAACGCATCAAATGTTTATTAGTAAAAACTTTAAAGTGTTATAACTTTTTT